GTTTGTGGATGTAAATGAGCCGGATGCGAATTATGTTTGCTTTATAGAGGCAATATGTGTATGGTTTGTGCTTGTGAATTGTTTAGCGCTGTTCAAATGTTTCCGCTGACCCAACCTATTCAATCGTAACTTCTAATTCAAATTTGCATTGCACGGACGAAGAAAACTTAACTTGATAACGAAATTAATTTTGAAGAAAAATCAATTAGAGAGAATATTTGAGCGGCCAGCGCGGTTTGTTTTCTCCTTTAAAATCATCATTTTTTTAAACTGATTTTAGTTCAACCGTTTCGTTGGGGCTTTTTCTTGCTTAACTGCTCGCAACGATATAAACTGTAGTCAAGAGAAAATCAACATCCTCTCGCTGGAGTGTTATATAAAGATTTCAAGCCCTGAAAAAAGTCGTAACAGCACATATGAGATATATGATAATTTTTCACTTGTGTTTCATATCGCCAATCAGCTGCTGACACGTCACTCGCCTTCGCGCCACTCTGTTAGGTTGACAAATGAATGGCAAAGCCTTCACCATTCTCAATCCAAGGTCGTTTGTCGAAATTTTCTCGGATCATGGCTACAAAAACATTGTTTTTTCATCTCGAGCGTTATCGCCAGTGCACTCTACGACTTTTTTTCGGGGATTGTGGATCGTAATTTTTCCACTCATTAATAAAGCGATTTTTATTTTCTGAAAGGGGCTGTTGACGTTAAATAATAAATGAAATAACACATGGTTGCTTGTAGGTATGGAATTTCTCTTCTGGTGTTCAACTTTATACCTCGCTAGTGGGCTATAGAGTTGAACACTCGAAAATAAATCCCATAGCTACGCGCACCCATGTGTTATTCCCTATTAAGAATTAACAGGCACCTTTGTGAAAAATCGTCTTCCGTCTAACTTACCAGGAGAAACCTTTGGACTTTCAGAGAGATTATCTCAAACACGACCGCAGAAAGCGTCCGAAGAGGTTGAACTCCTTTGAAGCTTACTGCAGTCCCGTTTGAGTATCAACAATCAAATTATCCATGACTGCCCAAAGGTCGATTGATATCAGATTGTTTATAGAATAAACCATTCTCTTTCCCGCAGTTCTTCCAAAAATTTCAGCTCTCCTGAAATTATTACAACGAAGAATTTAGAAAGGAAATGAGTAAAAATGAGGAAAAAAATAAAACAGCTTTAGGCTGTTTCATTTTTTCTCATGTTTAGTGATGATCTCGTTTGATTCAGAGAGAGTCGCTGAGGTAAATAAAATCGAAAAAGGGAAAATTACGGCTCAGTTAGTTAGTTCTAAGTAACCCGGCAGCCAAGGACTCCAAGTCGTGGAACTTGAGGCTTTTTCTTTGAAATGTTTTTTTTTTTTAATATTGAAAATAAAATGCATTTATTTAGACCTCACAGTTTCTTCAACCTTAATTTTCTTTCTGATTTATAGTCACTATTTGTGAAGTTTTTGAGCTCTGTGCTGATGTATTAAACTTGATGCAACGGACAATCAAATTTAACCGTTATAGCGATCGAAAAGCCAAAAGTAATGCGAAATAAAACTCTCTTACCTCCACTTCATTGTTTCCTACTTCGTTCCAGAGAATTTAAATCCGATTTAATCGACTTTCCTTTCAAGATATCATGATGAACGAAGTGAAAGGTTGGAAACTTCAAATTCAGCTTTCTTCGCAAAGCAACCAAGAAATTCACCATAA